ATATTTATTTAGGTAGAGTATTGACTGCCTTTAGTTCCGTAGAAGAGTCAGAAAGACTCGGCAGAAAATACAGTCGAACCTCCTGCGAGCGCTGACCAGCTAAAATGTGAAGCCTAGGTGGTCGCTTAAGGGAGGTGGTCGCTTACGAGAGCACAGACCATAATTACTGGGTCAAAATTTTGCCTCATTAGTATATGGTAGCTGAAGAGACTCACCCCATGTTTGAAATGTTTTATTCGTGTGAAAAGTCACTTTTGAGAAAAATCCGGTACTTCCCATTGAGAAATGTCCGTCTCTTGTACTGCCCAGGAATGCGATAATGTTACAACACATTATCCAAATTCTGCTCTATTATCTGTCAAGTGATCGCTTACGGGAGGTTAAATACAAAGGAAAATTTCAAACTTTCAGTTCTAAAAGTGGTCGCGATCGCTTTCGAGAGGTGGTCGCTTACAAGAGGTTCCAAATATAGTGATTTGACTTAGAAACTTTTGGTGTTTTGGAAAACTGGTCCCTGAGGAGAGGCGGNTGGTCGCTTACGAGAGCACAGACCATAATTAGTGGGTCAAAATTTTGCCTCATTAGTATATGGTAGCTGAAGAGACTTACCCCATGTTTGAAATGGTTTATTCGTGTGAAAAGTCACTTTTGAGAAAAATGCGGTACTTCCCATTGAGAAATGTCCGTCTCTTGTACTACCCAGGAATGCGATAATGTTACAACACATTATCCAAATTCTGCTCTATTATCTGTCAAGTGGTCGCTTACGGGAGGTTAAAATCAAAATAATATTTCAAACTTACAGTTCTAAAAGTGGTCGCGATCGCTTTCGAGAGGTGGTCGCTTACAAGAGGTTCCAAATATAGTGATTTGACTTAGAAACTTTTGGTGTTTTGGAAAACTGGTCCCTGAGGAGAGGCGGTCGCTTACGGGAGGTGGTCGCAACCGGAGGTTTACTGTATGTCAAGTCTGTCAAAGGAACTGATATTGCTTGAGCCTTTGCGGTTTTAGTCAGCGGTGTTGCTCAGCAGGATAATACAACCCTGAGACTGGAAACTGCTGAGTACTTCTTTCTAAATTTGCTAAAAACAACTTGTTCCCAAGGCTACCAATGTATGTTAAATACCAGGGTATGTTAAATATTGATATCTTAAATGAGCTGCTGTTCGCCTTCAAAGATTCTTGTTTGTCACCAGGCGACACTCTTTAATGGGTAAATCCGCTGACGTTATTGTGATGTCACTCGGGTGTAGCCTGGTAATGAGCATATTTTCATTGACGTGTGGAATAATATGCCATATTCGTATTCTCGGTATTGGACTGGAACTAGCTTGGGATGGAGGCTCATACGGGGGAATATCATTAAAAAGAGATTAATGTCATTTGCATTTGAAAAGACTCCCCGCATTAGCCTCGGTTACAAGCTAGTTCCAGTCCAATGCCGAGAATACGAATATGGTCTATTGAATTTCCGACATTCAGAAGTGGTGACGTCCGTTGCTGCTATCAGAACACGTCATCAGTGCTATTTAGTAATTACTTAGTTTGAATGTGAAGCTAAAAAAAAACAAATCACTAATAAAACGCCCATATAGATCAGAGAGAAAACAACGACCTTTTCTCAACCATTCAAGAGTTTGTCCGCGTTATTGTGTTTCATAGGTTAGTTACTAAGAGTGCTTTAATTGAAATTTTATTTTGAATGTTAGTTAGTTAAGTTCCCTTTAGCTTTCCTGGTTTTTTTTTTATTTCCTGTTTTTGATGCATTTATCTGAGCTATTGAAAGGTTTTTGCTTATCAATAAAAGCCAATTACTCGTTTTTCTGTCAATGTCTTTTGCACAACTCAACAAAAAGGTCAATAATCGTTGAAAAATAAACTCTAGCTAAAACGTTTCTTGGTTAGGCTTGAAAAAGTGAAGAGTTTCAACAAGATATCAATTTTGGCAAATTTAGTAATATAGACGAGAAAATGCAAATTTATCTTCTCTGAAATAAAACAAACGGAAACAGCTGTTTTGAATTCCCAATCAAGTAGATTGTTTCTTACAGAAAACATTTAGAAAAAAGGAAATTTCATTAATGAGGTGAGGCTGAGTAACTGTCGCCAATTCTTTATATATGAGCTTTTCGGCTTCTTAAAGTTGAGGTGGATGCTTTGTGATGAATAGATATGTGATGTCACTGTTAAGATTCTTCGTGGAAATCCAGTAGCGATTGGTAAGAAAAGTGGCGTAGAAACGCTTAAAACAACAACCTCCATTCGCCAGATTCCGCGAACAACAACACCACTCCATTGAGAGACATAGTGCGCTGAAAAATATGGGAATACCACCCATGCGCTCACCACTATACTGTTACTGAGAGTGAAGAACGTTTAGCCGTGCAATGACCAATGCTATACAAAGCCGTGTCACATACAAAGCCATGGAATAAGTAGCTGTATCATCCATCATGCCGTGCGATATCTCGGTTATAACTGGCGCCATTGTGGTTGGTATTGCTCTTATCGGTTCGGTGGGAAACTTTCTCACGTTATTCGTAATAATCCGTCATCGTCCGTTACACGATATCACGGGAATGTTTCTCGCTAATCTTGCTGCGGCCGACCTTTTACAATCCTCGTTTGGAATGCCGCTGATAGCCACCTCAGCTTTCCGCAACTCTTGGATCTTTGGAGACACCTTGTGCTACATAAGTGGAGCAACAAACTCTCTCTTCTGTATCGCCTCCATGTTAACACTGTCCGCCATTAGTTTAGATCGTTGGTTAGTGATTGTTTATCCGTTACGTCATCAATCGCTTCTCACTTTCCGGAGGGCGAGAATGGTATTGATGTATATCTGGGTACAGGCGTTAGTTGTGGCGATCTTTCCCGTATTTGGATGGTCAAGGTAAAAAGACTTATTTATTCAGTGATTTGTTAGAATTCTGTCTCCGAAAAGTTTATGAAAAGTTTATGAACCCGAGTTTTTGCCGAAATTTTGCTGCGCAACATTCAACTTGTTCCCAGGATCTTCTCTATTCCAATCAGAGAGAGGACCCTGGGACCCTGCTGTTTTTCACCAACCTCGATCTCAGGATCTCTCCCCTTTGTCTCACAGGCAAAGGAGTGAGCCGCCTGGGATCGAGGTTTTTTTACTACGTGTATCTCTGATTGGAAGATAAGAGTCAAAACGTCCCCGGTCGATTCTCTTATGACTGCCCAAAACAGGGTATTTTTAGAGAGAGGTATAGTTCTTTTACGATATATATTTTTTGGTTGTACAAAGGAAAAATTGCTCATGAATAATAATAAT